CCCTGCCAGCCCGTGGGCTCCTGAGACGGGGTTCGTTCCGTTGGCTTTGCTCTCAGCTGTATCCAGAGGCCTGGGGTTCCGAACGTATTGTGCCAGACACAGCAAATGACCAAAAGGAGAGGGGTGGTGCTATTCATATTCATAAATATAAAATAGATTTTAAGGCACAACCCGCCAATATTTTTTAAAAAGTCAACTTATGTAAATATTTACAGCCCCCCCAAACCTTATAGCGGGCCCCTCTGAGTCTGAGTCGTGGTCGAGTTGATGGCAGGGGTGTTACTATGACTGTCTAAAACCACCGGAAGGAAACAGAAGAGAACCATCGTGGCGATTTGGGGTTAGGCAACGCATGGTTTTTAAAAACAATAATAAATCGGGCCTCATTCATGATGAACGTTTGACCTTTGAAGGATACGGTTAAGTGAGAACGGCCCCTGGATCGACCAAAGCCACGTGCCTCCATCTCCCCCTGCGTCCAGCACCTATGTCCCCTCTGCGGTCACCATCATGCCCAAGAGAGAGGCGGAAGGGAGGGTCAGGGAGCTAAAGCCAAGGTGAAGGATGAACCCCAGGGGAGATGCATAAAGTTATCTGCTGACCCTGTGCCTTCAGAGCCAGAGCCTAGGCCCAGAAAGGGCCCTGCAAAGAGGGGAGAGGCGGTACCCAAAGGGAGAAAGGAGAAAGCTGATGCTGGCAAGGGGGAGAACGGCCCTGCAGGAAACGGAGTTGCCCAGACCGACCGGGCGCAGAAATCGAGGTGCCGAGTGAAGTGTGTGCATTTTTGGTAAGGGAGTCCTGGTGCCAGAGTGATTACACGTTGTGCTGCTAGCCACAAGGTCAGCGGTTCAAACCCACCAGCCGCTCCTCAGGAGAAAGATGGGGCTTTCTACTTCTGTAAAGAGTTACCGGCTCAGAAACTAATTGAGGCAATTGTAGCCTGTCCTGAAGGGTTGATAGGAGGCAGCACCAACTGGATGGCAGTGCACTTGCTTGTCTGGTTTGATACTTCGGGTGACTGTACAATTTGAAACGCCATTTGTATCGAGTTTGATAAAAATGCAGACTTTTGTGGTACTTAATTTTTAAAAATCTATGTTATTAGCACACTGGCCGTTCCGTTGTTGCTTTGTGGGGAGGGACAAATGTCCCTTATAGGAGGTCTCCAAAGCTGGATCGATGAGAGGGACTCCGGCTTCCCTTTCTAGTTCTGAGACCCCTCTGGGTCCCCATGAGGAGGGATTCCCTGATGTTGACTCACATTAGGCTCCCAGGCACAAACTCCGTGTGGTCAGAACAAAGTAAAATGTGTTTTCACATCTCTAGCTCTCTTCTTTCCCCGGTGCTCTCAGCATAGACTCAACTCGTAAACCCAGAGACTTGCTGGGACCTGCCCTGGAAGCATCTGCTGTTAGGGTGTCGGCCATCGGGACTGTCCGGTGATTGCATCGTGACAGCATCCCTAGGAAGCGGAGCAGTTCTGTCTTGTCGACTGCGCAGCTTTGCTTGGTCACTCTGCCCACGTGCATTTATTTTCTGAACGTCAGGGTTGGCTCCTGGAGAGTGGTTGAACACCATGCTGACCGTGAAATGCCAGCCCAGCCCAGTCACTCGCAACATCCCCGGTTCAGAGCATGAGAGGAAGACTTTGTTGGGCTTTCTGGGGACTTTCTGATTTGCGTACCCCATTGAAGAAGGGAGTGTGAAAGCTGAATGATATTGTTAGCGGTTGCCTGCCCATGTCCGGCCTGAATACCAGGATTGTTTAGGAAGTATATCTTTCCTAAAACTGCCTGCAGTTTGTCTTGGGAGAAGAAAAGATAATACATAGGAGAGCGGAGCCCCAGAAAGACGTTCGACCCGTGAGTAAGCCATTACCCACCGTCACTGAGTCGGTTCTGACGCATTGCTACCCCATCTAGGGTTTCTGTAAAGCTTGACGGCTTCCTCTTGCTCATGGAGTGGCTGGTGGGTTTGAACCTGTGACTTGTGTGTGGTTTGCCATGTAATGCTTAGCGCACAGCATCACCGGGGTTCCAGTCACTCAAACCAAAACCAAACTCACTGCTCTGGAGTCAGTTCGGACTTGTGGTGACCCTCGAGGACAGAGCAGAGCTGCCCCTGGGGGTTTCTGAGACGGCGACTCTGTATGGGAGTAGAAAGCCTCATCTTTCCTGTTGGAAGCAACTGATGGTTTCGAAGTGCTGGCCTTCAGGTTAGCAGCCTAACGTGATCACTACACAACTGATCAGGGCTCTTCATCAGTCACCAGGGAAACGCAAATTTAAACTACCATGAGATACTGCCACACACTTGTTTAAAATAGCTAAAATTTTACAAACTGCCAATGCCAAGTGCCAGCAAGGATGCGGGGCACTGGAAGGATCTTCATGCTAGTGAGAATTCAAAATGAGACAGTCACTTTGAAAAGACAGCTTCGCAACTTCTTACAAAGTTCAATACCGTAGTTTTAAATGTAAACAGCCTGTCTTCTCCATGTATATATTTTTTGTTCTAGTATTTTCTTTTTCCCAAGTCATTTCATTAGGAGCTAATGCAGACATCACACCTTTCCCTAGCTCAGTCTTATCAAGCAGTGCTTCATAGTCGCTACTACCATCCTTTTCAAGGCATTTTCTTCCTTCTTGAACTCCTTCATATCAGCTCCCCTTTGTCCCCCTCCATTGCACCCCTCGTTGTTGTCTCTCTAGATGCACCTATCCTGGCTTTCATATGCCAAAAAATATAGAAAAACACATAACAGCGTGTCATGAAGGCTACTGTGAATGACAAAACACAACAAACCCCAATATGAGAAAAATACAGAACATACTGAAAACCAGATCAAGCTCAAAGTGTATCAGAAAGGGAGATCAAGTGACAAAAGTTCTAACAGTTGAAGACAGAGTTATCATTTCTAATCTCCTAGAGTGGGTTCTCCAATCCGCGGTCCGATCCCCAGGTTATTCCTGTCCCGCAGTCACGGTCAGGGAGCGCACTAGAGGCTTATTCCCTGGGTAGATCCTGCAGCTGTGGTTGGGGTTTCCACTGACACCCATAGCCTTCTGCACATCCGAAATCACAAGTTAAGCTCTGATACATCGTCTATATTTGCACTGAAGAAAAACCGAGACATTGGAATTGGGGTACTGGAGAAGAATATGGAAAGTACCAGGTGCGAAGTCTCTGGGATGGTTTCTCCCAGTTCTTACTTCTCAATGCTGACAGAATTCACACAGCAGAAGCACTTTTGTAAGGAGCTTTTATGAGGAAGACGAAGTTTCGGGTTATACAGTCTCAGATAAGTACACGCTATCCCTGGACAGTATGCAAGGCCCCATCGATGCAAATGAGGAGGGTCGGGTCAGAGTGGAGACTCAAAGCCCTTCTGTAGACAATTGGACACCCCTTCACAGAAGGGTCACAGGGAAGGGATGAGTCAGCCAGGGTGCAGTATAGCACACAATATTCCTCTAGTTCTGTAATGCTCCTCCCCCCACCCCTACCCCCTATCATGAATCCACTTCTACCTTACAAATCTGGCTAGACCAGAGCGTGTACACTGGTACAGATAGGAATTGGAAACACGGAATCCAGGACAGATAAAACCCTCAGGAACAGTCATGGGAGTAGTGATACCATAAGGGTAGGGAGAAGGTGGGGGGAGTAAGGGGGAACCAATCAAAGCGATCGACGTATAACCCCCCCTCCCAGGAGGATGAACAACAGAAACATGGGTGAAGGGAGACAGTGGATGGTGTAAGATATGAAAAGAATCATTTATAATTTATCCAGGGTTCATGAGGGCGGAGGGTGGGGGGGAGAGCTGATACCAAGGGCTCAAGTAGAAAGAAAATGCTTTGAAAATTATGATGGCAACATGCACAAATGTGACTGGTACAACTGATGTACGGATTGTGATAAGAGCTATAAGAGCCCCCAATAAAATGACTAACAAAATGTGCAAGACCGCACGGAGGACCAAACCAAGCCAGAGTTCGAGACCGAAAATGGCTATTTCTGGGGAGCTCAATAAACCACGTGGAAAATGCCAGAAAGGGGAGGTCATGGAACCAGAGAGGAGTGCTAGAAACAAGAGGGAGAGAATGAATGAATGAGGCTGAAGGTCCAGAGGCTTCCTAGTGGCGTGGAGTGCCTGTGGGTACGTACAAGCAAAGCTAAGAAAGAGCTGTAGCCCTTCCCCTAGCGGCCTCCAAAAAGTCCTGGAATCCTAAGTGATTCCTATCACTTC